CTCTATTCTGTTTTTTTTTTTTTTTTTTGCTAGAGGGCGCATGCGCTCACAGGAGACAGAGAGGAAAAGTGAAAACTCCCCTGGCAGGGGGTGGGGCTGGGCCACACTATAGTCCCTAATCCATTTTCTTTTCTTTTCTTTTTTTTTTAAAGAGAGGTTTTTGCTATAGGGCACGTGCACTCACCAGAAAGGCAGAGAGAGACAAAGAGACAGAAAGCAAGAAATCACCCCCTAGGGGGTATGGCCATGCTGCAATCCCTTCTCCTCTTGGGATCTTGGGCACGCACGCACACACGCCTGGTCTGAGTTTAAATCGCCTCATCCAGGACTCGAACTGTGGTTGACTACGTGGAAATCTAGCAACATAACCATGACGCCATCTGCTGGTCCATCTCCTCTTGGGATTCTGGGCATGCATGTACATGCAGTAGCTTATTTTTCTATTTTTTTAAAAAACTTTATTTATTTAATTCCACTTGTTATTATTACTTTTTAATTTGATCAGAGAAAGAGAGAGAGAAAGGGAAAGTGAGAAAGCAAGCCGCCAGGTCCGGGACTCGAACCGTGGTCTCCCCAGCAGCTCATTTTTGTAGAGGGTTTTTTAAAATTTTTTTTCCTTTTTCCTTTATAGGGCACACGCGCTCGCCAGAAAGACAGAGAGAGACAGAAGGCGAGAAATCACCCCCCAGAGGGGATGGCCACACCGCAATCCCTTCTCCTCCATTCTCCTCTTAGGATCTTGGGCATGCACACACATGCATCCGGCGTGAATTTAAGCCACTGGGTCCAGGGCTCAAACTGCAGTCAACTACACAGTTCAGTGACAGAGCCATTGCGCTAACTGCTGGTCCCCAGAAGTTCATTTTTCGAGCTGCCAGCCTGTGTCATCGGCCAGGTGGGATCCAGTGACCTCAGTCACCACGCCACCAGCTGGTCCCACAGAGAAGGCTCTGAAGCGGTAGATCAAGACTGCGGCCCACGCTTTCCTGCCAGACCGTTTATTTTACCGACAGGGCCCGTCAGCCCCACCCCGCGCCCTCGACATACGCTCTGAGGTGGCTCCCATCGTGCTCTACTCTCACAAGTCCGTGGGTCTGCTTAGGCTCTGGTCCTGCCACCAGAGGGAGGCCCCAGAGGGTCAGCAAGGGACTGGTCTTGGTACCTACTGTCACCCCGCTGTCCAGAGCAGGGCCTGGCACGTACAGGTACTCAGAGAATATTGGCTGAATAATTAAAACTCATCTTAATAGCTCCCCTCGCTGGCTCGGGCACTTTACACCCACGACCTCCGCCCTTGCATCAGCTATGAGGCGATGTGTCCCACTTGGTGCACAAACAAAACCAACGGGTTCTGGGGCCCAATGCCGAGTCCAGGGTCTACCTCCACGAAACCGAGCACATGATCTGGGGCAAGTCACTGAACCTGCTGCAAGGGTATCTTCGGTTGCGAAGAAGGAAGAGTTTTCTAACTCAGAGCTCTCGATGAGAATGTAGTGAGACTGAATTAGGTCTTCACCAATTGTAGCTGTCACCTTTCAGAGTAATCGAGAGGCTCAGAGAGGTTTCCTTCCCTGCCCAAGGCCATGCAGTTGCACAGTTGAGGAATAGGACAGTAAATGACACTAGCTGTCTGGCAGGACTCTGGCTGGCTCCAGGCTATAGGCCAGGAGGTGGTGTGGGTAGGGTTTGGACTTCCACATGGCTGACCATGGTTCAAGTCCCAGACTTGGGGGCTTGCTTTCTCACTTTCCTTCTCTTTGGTCAAATTAAATAGTAATAAATAAAATGAAAATCAAAAACCAAAAGCCTTCACCAGCCAAACTGCAAGGAAGATGTGTTGAACTGCGTGAGCTCCAGGCAGGGATGTGTGGCTCGTCTCAAGTTTATACCTAAGACAAGCCTCAAGAGTCCCTTAAATTAAAGACACACCCACAGAGAAGGAGAAGGATCTGCTACAGTGCAGGAGGGGGGGGGTTCCAGGCAGGGGAGGAGAGACCGAGACACCTCTCACTTGAACAGTTTCCACCACCTCCGATCATTCGGCTCCATGAGCAGCACAGCATTAGTCACCAAAGCCTGAGCAGTCACTCGAGCAGACCCGCCAGCCTGCTGTTTCCTCATCTGTAGAATGAGATGACACCCATCTCTGAGGTCACACTGCTCACATGGCAGAGGAAGACAGACCCCGGGGACCCTGCTGGCCAGGACTAGGCTCTTTAGATCACGTGGCACCAGTCACCTTCCTGGCAGGAGCTGCAAGGAGCCGGGCAGGTGGACTCACAGCCCTGCTTCACGGCGTGATACCTGCCTCTCTCTGCATGAGAACAGCCCCTACTCTTGGGCTGTGAGGGTGGCCTGACAGAATCTGCTTACGACAGAGCAGGGCTCGATGAATGGACCAGCTTCCAGACGATCGTGAACGACTCTGTTCAACCACTCCCTTTGCTCTTACCTCAGCTTGTGATTACTGGTCACTCGCTCGGTCTGTCTCCTATCAGAACGTCAGGGAGAGCAGGGGCTGGGTCTGTCCTGGCCACCACTCCCCCAATATTTGATCAGTGAGTGAAGGACCTGGTCATGTGCAGCAATGCCCTGTAGTGGGCAGCCCTCACGGAGTCGCGGGCAGTGATGAACAGGACCTTCAGCCATTCTTGGGCTGGCCAAGTAACAGAGCTGACTCCTCCATGGCTGACCGCTGCTGGAGCCCCAGCCCCAGTGGCATGAGGAACATACTGAGTGGAACCAGCAGGTGGTGCAATGGCTCTGTCACTGGACTCCCCCATCGCTGACCGTGGTTTGAGTCCCGGACCCGAAGGCTTGAAACTCATGCCGGGTGCGTGTGGGTGCATGCCCGAAATCCCGAAGAGGAGAAGGGATTGTGTGTGGCCATCCCCCTAGGAGGTGATTTCTCACTTTCTGTCTGTCTCTCTAATGTCTCTCTATAGCAAAAAAGAAAAATACACCGAGTATGTGAATGTGTATGCCCCAAATCCTGACAAGATTGGGGGAGAAATGAAAGACAAAGGATTGCAGTGTGATTGAGCCCAACTGGGGGTTACTTTCTCTCATACTCTCTCTCTGGACAACACTCGCACTCTTTAATAAAAAAGAAAACAAAAACCAAAACAAGGGCTGGCCCTGCAGCTTGGCAAGCACAAGTAAAAAACCCTAATGCTTATCTAGTGAGACTGCCACAGGCCAAGAAATCCCGATGTTCTTAGGGGTGCATGGAAACGGCTAACCGTGTGGCCCAGCAGGTCCAAAGGCTGGAGAGAAGCTGATGGAAAACTCACAGACGCTCTCTCCTGTTCACTGACTTACCTTCTGCCGACTGAGAAGAGGCTGCCAGGATTACATTTCAGCTGAGCACTCCCTGGCTTAGCTTGGACTCTGAGTCCTGTGCTCCTGCGGAAACCCTTGAAGTTCAAAGGATGGTTACTCACTGGTTCTTGTGTTTGAAGCCGCTGATATGAGCTTGGTACTGCTCGATGGAGTTCAACACTATTTTACACGTCTTGCAGGGGTAGCCTTTCCCGGCTGAAACACACATCAAAGGCGAGATAATTAGTTACCCAAGAGGGGCCTGGGGCTGCTCTTCAGAGAGCGTGCACATGTCCTGGGAGGGCGCACAGGTGGGAGAAGTCTGGCCCTGAGAACCCCAGAGCCTCTATGCTGAGGAGTCACAGTCCGTGTGCCCATGGGCTGGGAACCTCCTCGTTCTCCGAGTCCCCAGTCCCTGCACACAGGCAGGTCCAGACTAGCTGTCTGTCGAGTAAGTAGAATGACAGAACAAAGAGGAGAAACTGGGTGCAAGCCTTTTCCGCCTTGACTCTATCCAATGGCCTCACTAAGGATGCCCTTCATAGTCTGGGACGGTGCCGCTCTCCCCAGGCTTGTGGTGACAGTAATCAAGTGAAGGCCTGTCGCAACGATCAACCTAGCTTTCTACCTGGAGGCTCGCAGATGCCACGTCTCACTAGCAGGGCTGCTCCGACAGCGTGGCCTTCCTGCACGTGGCCAGACTCCTGGCCCTGCCCCTTGACCTTGGGTAAGTCCCTTCCTCTCTGACTCTTAGCTTTCTCAGCCACACAGCAGTCCTAGCACAGCTCCAGGTCCTACTCGTAATCTGAGCAGCTGCTCATCTAGCTTCGTTGCCCTCGTAACGACCCTGTGCGAGTACTACCATTACGCGGCAGATGAAGATGTGAGGCACAGGGGTCCAAGAACTCGGCTAGTGGTGGAGGCCGGCACGGGCTCAGCTGGCAGCCACGGCTGTGCCGATTCCAGCACGCCACATGCCGGGCAGGACGAGCAGCCGCACAGCTTCCAGGGCCCCTCTGGCTCTGATGCCTTTGGAACCACCTGGTACCCCAAGGCCTCCAGCGTTGAGCAACGTCACCGAGGTCCAGACCTCCGCCTTACCAAGGCCAGTGGGACCAGAGGCCAGAAAGCTCTCTACTTGGTATCCTTGTTTAGAAAATTGGAGCTTTTCTGAGATCCCTTGCCTCACCTAGAAAATGGGGTTGGGTCAGCTAGGTGGTGTGGTGAAGGTGGCTGGATCTCACATGGCTAGTGCTGTGGTTCGAGACCTGGACTTGGCACTTCGAAAACACACTAGGTGCATGCATGTCCAAAGTCTTGAAAAGACTGGAGAAAGGACTGTGGTGTGGCCATCTCTCCCGGCGGTGCTCTTACTTTCCTTCTCTCTCTCTGTGTCCCCAGTGAGCGTACGTACCCAATGGCAAATTAATAATAAAAAAGAAACAGGGCTAACATTAGTATTGCAATAATTTAAATAAAAGCATCTGGCCCAGCTGCAGTGGTACTGGGGAGGGTGGTAAGGGTACTGGTATGTGATACCACAGCCTCAGGGGTTCATATCCTGGGTCTACCTGAACATGCCGAATGAACATTTAATTTTTAAAAGAGATTTTGGCTATTGTGTGTGTTCTTACCAGAGAGACAGAGAGAGAGAAAGCAAGAACTCACCCCCCAGGGGGAATGGCCATATCACAATCTCTTCTTCATTCTCTTCCTGGGATTTTGGGCACACAAACTCAGCCTGAGTTTCAAGTCCATTCAGGGACTTGAACTGTGGTTGGCCATATGGGAATTCAGTGCTTTACTCACTATGCCACCCACTTGCCTCAGTAAACACTTTCACTGTGCACATTAGCCAGAGATAGCAAGCGGCCTCCAACAGGGCTTGGCTATGCAGCAACTGTTTCCCTGCACTCCTTCCTGTCAAGATTCTGGGCATACACATATGGTACCCGGCACGTACCTTTTTTTTTGGAGAGTTTTTGCTATAGGGCGCGTGCACTCGCCAGACAGACAGAGAGAGACAGACAGAAAGCGAGAAATCACCCCCCAGGGGGGATGGCCACACCCCAATCCCTTCTCCTCCATTCTCCTCTTGGGATCTTGGGCACGCACGCACATGAGCCTAGTATGAGTTTAAGCTGCCGGGTCCAGGATTTGAACCACAGTCGACTACATGGGAGTCCAGTGACATAGTCATTACGCTAACTGCTGGTCGCCCTGGCGTGTACCTTTAAGCCACCAGGGTTGGGGTTCAGAACGAAGCTCGCCATGTAGTAGCTGGCTCCATAACAACTACATGACAAGGCTGGCCCTGGGTGAGCATTTAAAGAGCTTCCGTCCTGCAGTGAATACTGCACGAACGTGAACCTGCATGCCGTTACTTCCTCTATGGGCTCCGTGAGTGAGCTGGCAGAGAGGGAGAGGTGGAGCTTCTTTAAACCAGCCCTCTGTGGCCGCTGCTGGGACTGAGAACTCTTGACCACCTCTTCCACTCCGCTAAGGTGACCACGGCCCTCAGCTCTATTTCTTTTATATTTCCAGGCATTAAGAATGCCCAAAGAACGGCTTCCAAAGGGAAGCTAAGTCTCTTTCAAGTGCTTCAGGGAAAAATGACTGCAATCAGAATTGCGGGCCCTTTTTAGACATCTAAGGTCAGTATTATGGTTCAACAGAGAAAAACAACATCACCAACAAGCAGAGTCGCCCTCCCCAAGGGGAGGTGGCCGGTGTGGGTGACGACAGGTGGTTAAGTCACCAACATGCAGATTACAGAGCCTACCAGCACCCACTCTGCACCAGACACCACGCCAGAGCTTCATGTGAGAATCTGCATCCTTGGACTTCGGCACGTGCACTCGTTTGAGAAACTATTCCTGAGGCAGATGGCTTTGCTGCAATCCCTCCTCCCCAATTCGTCTCTGGTATGTTTCCAGGCTGCTGGATCTGGGACTTGAACTGTGGAGTAGGCGATGTGCGATGCAGTGCCTTAACTTCCGCACCACTGCTCTGGTCCTTGCCTTCTTACAACTACCTCCAAGTGAAGTGGTCATGCACGCGTTTTAGAGAAGTCTAATGGTTTACCAGGGAACAGAGCTGGGACTTGCCCTCTGGTCTGTGAAGTTCCTGTCCTGCCCCCAACAACACAGGTCTCTGACACTCCCGTGTGCCCTCTGGGTACACGATCTCAGCACACTGCGTATCTGTAAGCTAGCTCGAATCGTCACCTGGGGTAACTGTGGGACTTCCTGGTGCGTCTAGAAATAGATCTGTCCAGTAAACCTACCAGTGACATCCCACGGGTCTGGTTTACACGTGTGGTTACATCTGGTTTACCTGTGTGATTTTATGAAGTTTAGCTCAAGCTGGTTACTGAACATCATTTTTAAAGAAATTTTATTTATCCATTCACTTATTTTAATTTGACCAGAGAGAGACAGAGAAAGAGAGAGAAAGTAAATCTCTAGGTCCGGGACTCAAACCATGGTTGGTCATGTGGGAGTGCCTTAATCACACCACCTGCTAGACCCAGAACTCTCAGTTCTACACTTCTTTTATCATGGAAGGGTAAATGGAACATGCAAAGCAGAACAGGTTTCAGTAATTCTCAAGTAATTATTATTATTTTTTTGAGAGATTTTTGCTATAGGGCGCATGCGCTCACCAGACAGAGACATAGAGACAGAAAGCGAGAAATCACCCCCCAGGGGGGATGGTCACGCCGCAATCCCTTCTCCTCCATTCTCCACTCGGGATCTTGGGCACGCACGCGCACGCGCCCGGCGTGAGTTTTAAGCCACCAGGTCTGGGACGCGAATCGCGGTCGACTACGTGGGAGTCCAGCGACATAGCCATTACGCTAACTGCTGGTTCCCTCAAGTAATTTTTTAAGAGAGAAATTTTTGCTAAAGGGCGAGTATGCTCGCCAGGGAGACAGAAAGTATGAAATCACCCCCCTGGGGGGATGGCCACACCACAATCCCTCCTTCTCTATTCTCCTCTTGGGATCTTGGGCATACACACACACACACACACACACACCTGATGAGAGCTTTTTTTTTTGACAGATTTTTGCTATAGGGCACGTGCGCTCGCCAGAAAGAGAAAGAGAGACATAAAGTGAGAAATCACCCCCCCCGGGGGGGGCATGGCCACGCTGCAATCCCTTCTCCTCCATTCTCCTCTCAGGATCTTGGGCATGCATGTACACTTGTGCTATGTGAGTTTAAACCATGGGGTCCAGGACTCGAACCTTAGTCGACTACATGCGAATCCAACAATATAGCCATTATGCCAACTGCTGGTCTCCCTGGTGTGAATTTTAAGCTGCCAGCTTGGGGATTCAAACTGCAGTTGACTACATGGGAGTCCAGCGATGCAACCACTATGCCATCTCCTGGTCCCAGTAATTTTCAAGTAATTTTTTCTTGGCACCCGTATCTCCTTAACAGAACCACGACGACGAGAACGGACGGCAAAGCTGTGACACAGGGTTTACATTCTGCTGTCAGCAACCCTCTCCGTGCTAGGACGTCTACCTTTCTGTTCCTGGTAGGCAAGAGCTTCGAACACGAGACGGTCCGACTGAGCCAGCATCTGCGGGAAGCACCACCTAACAGCCCCCCAGCCAGTCTTCCAAAACAGAAAGTTGAGAAAGGGCTGGCCTCGTGGCAGTGTTGAGCACTGTGCATCGGGATTTCAGGCCAGACCTATGTGCTCAAATCCTGACGGGATGAAATGAAGGAAAAAGGACTGTAGAGTGCCCACACCCCACTGGGGGGCGCTCTCACGCTCTCCCTAGCAAGTGCTTGCACCCTCTGGCAAAAGAAAAAAAGGGGAAAAATCAACTGAAAGAAAAACTTACAAGAGTTTTTCCTTTAGAACATCACTATCGGGACCAGCAGTTAGCGTAATGGCTATGTCGCTGGACTCCCACGTAGTTGACTGCAGTTCGAGTCCTGGACCCGGTGGCTTAAACTCACGCTGGGCGCGTGTGCGTGCGTGCCCAAGACCCGAGAGGAGAATGGAGGAGAAGGGATTGCGGCGTGGCCATCCCCCCCTGGGGGGTGATTTCTCGCTTTCTGTCTCTATGTCTCTCTCTATCTGTCTGGCGAGCGCACACGCCCTATAGCAAAAACCTCTCAAAAAAAAAAAAAAAAAAAAGAACATCACTATCAAATTTATTTTCACTGAGGCCAACAGATAGCGTAGTGGTTAAGGTGCTGGACTCTCTCATAGTCAACTGCAGTTCAAGTCCCAGACCTGGCAGCTTGAAACTCACGCCCAGTGCGTGTGTGTGCATGCCCAAAATCCCAAGAGGAGAATTGAGAAGGGATTGCAGTGTGGCCATTCCCCCCGGGGGAAAGGGGTACGATTTCTTGCTTTCAGCCTCATGTTCTGCTGAACACATTGTTTCCCACCATGAGAACTGAGAGGCTACTGCAACTGCCCCGAGCACAGAAACTGGCAGTGATACCCACAGCAGGGCCAATTCTTCTCACGCTCTCCAAGGACTTCTCTCTCCTTCTCAGAGATGTCATGAATTTCCCGGCTCATGAACTCAGCAGAGGATGAAGCATACCACGCCTTCAGTTCCTGTTGGGGCTCCATGTCCTTTATCACTCCTAACACCCACAGTGGCTATATGGTAAAGCCACCAGGTTCTGTCCAGGGATTCTGGGCTGGACATACAACCACCACCCAGTTCCAAAGGTCTCATTAGACAACTCAAGTCATCGGTCTTCATGTGAATCTCTGAATTTTTCATCTTTGTTCGATGAATGCAATAGTCTTTCAGGTTGGATGAGGGAGTCCCTCCACAGGGCTAACCTGCATGCACCTGAGCACACACCTTTTGGGGAACAGTCCTCCAACAAAGCCTTTGACATGTAGAAATCAGAGGGAGAGTCCCTCTTACTCAAGTGATATGAGCTGGTTGGGGAGGAGACGCAGAGCCATCTGAACACTGAATCATGAGCGTTATTATGCACTGTACACCATCAGTCACGGTGGTCAGAGGGCCATTACCACTGCCTTCCTCATCTTCCTCGGTATGCTCGTCCACCTCCTCTCTGGCCGCCAGTCTACCGTACAGTTGTGTATAGCTGCCAGCGGGTCACAACCACCCACGGTCCCAACTGTGCAGCACTGGGCACGAGCCAATGATGAGGGCAGCTGACCGTGGCATCCTGTCGGCCTGGTCTGTAAACAGTCTGTGTGGTTTCCACAGGACGAACGTACACCAGTGCGTGCTCTAGATCACCTGCCGCAGCGCAGGAGGCACCAGGTGCCACATGTGCCACTGCTGGGGATGCCTAGTCACTGCTACAGAGGGTCTGAGCCACAGTGCCAGGGTCAGAGCAAAATTCTGCCCAAGCTCTGCAGACGCTGGCCACACATGAGCTTCATCTTTGAAATCCATCTTTCCCCTCCTGGACAGACCGGGCATGGGGTCCCTACCGTAGCACAGGGTAAAAGGACACATGAGTCCCGCAGGGAGAAAAGGTCTGCGTGCAATAGGCACACGTGGGATGAGGGAGCATGAAGATTATGGGTCCTGACCTTGCTCCCTAGGATGAGGGAAATGAAACAGCCCCAGCCTGTCCCCTTCCTGCCTAGGCTTTCACTGAAGGTGGTGGCCGATCTGGAAGGCAGGTGGATGCCTCAAGGAAGAAGAAAGGGTCAAGGCTGCAGTTCCGGGGCTCAGTAGGCAGTGACTCCCCACCACCATGGTTCCACTCTCCTTGGTTTCAGTTACCCATGGCCAGCCATGTCTGACACTGAGACCACATGACTTGTCACAGCATATTGTTCTGACTATTGTTATTGCCTCTTACTGCTGACCTCTCACTGTGCCTACTTGCTAAATTGAACTTACCACAGCTACGTACGTACAGGGTAGCACAGTGTAGGTAGGGGTGGGTTCTAGTCACCATTTCAGGTGTCCACTGGGGGTCTTGGAATGGATCCCCAGTGATAAGAAGAGACTTGTTGGGGTAGTTTAGCCTTAGACAGAGGAGGTGGGAAAATACAGAAAAAGGGGCTTGGCTTAAAATAAAAGAGCAGAATGGACAGAAGTTAAGACAAGCAGTCCAGGGCCAGCAGTTGGCATGATGGCTATGCTGCTGGACTCCCATGTAGCCAATCACAGTTGAAGTCCCAGACCTGGTGGCCTAATTTCACGCTGGGCACATGTGCGTGTATGCCCAAGATCCTGAGAGGAGAATGGAGAAGGAATTGTGGCGTGGCCATCCCCCTTGGGGGGTGATTTCTCACTCTGTCTCTGTCTTTCTGGCGAACACACGCGCCCTATAGCAAAAATCTCTCCAAAAAAAAGAGAAAAAAGACAAGCAGCCCAATGGATCAGCAGGTGGCAGGGAGGGTAAGGCGCTGGATCCACAAGTGTGTGGTTTGAGTCTAGGACCCCACAGCTTAAAAACTATGCCAGGCGGGTGACTGTGTGTGTGCCCAAAATCCTGGGAGGAGACTGGAGGAGAGGGGATTGTAGTGTGGCCATCCCCCGAGGGACTATTTCTTACTTTCTATCTATCTCTGGCAAGCACATGCACCCTATGGCAAAAAAAGTCTAGAAGACAAGCAACCCAAAACACTGCATTGCTTGAGTCTTGCCAATGGAAAATGGTAATGGGGGAATGATAAGGGTAGGAAGACGTCAGGAAAGGGTGGGCTGGAGTGAAGGCACAACAGTCAGCTGCAAGGGAACCCTAGATCCTGTGAACTGAATAAAATGTTTCTCTCAATTGTGGGCTAAGGAAGAGTGTGTCATGAAGGCGCTTCTGAGCAGCAAGATTCTCAGTTTCCAAATGCCGCAGTACACAGGAGCAGTCCTGCTGCTATTTCAAAGAGCATTATAAAACAGAGTCCTAGGATGGCACTGGAGGAGCAATCCCTGGCACCCAGTGAAAGGATCTAGGCCCACAGTTTTCGTGCCCTTGCTTCCAGCCACTGCTTCGTCCCTATTTAATCTGTCCCTATGACACAGGACAGCCTGTGCTGCAGGTGGCCTTCGGTGTTCAGGGTTAGAGAGGGAGTGACCCTTCTCCTTGACCATATCTGGTCTGGGACATTTATGGCATCTGGTTGTCCATCCTCCCCACGGTTACGGGAGGAGGACAAATGACTGGGCAGCAGGCTCCCTACCAGGGTGTTCCGCCTGGACACGGGCGCTCTCCAGCATGAGTGTTTGGTCTGCATGTCTGTGGCCTTGGGAGAAGACCTCCCCTGAGGACCCACACCGATGCTCACAGCGGCCCTGGGAGCCGGGGCCTGTGCCAGCCTTGGTTACCACGACAGCCAACAAGGGCACACAGTGGGTGCTCGATACTGACCGAGTGAAAAAAAATAACCACGGCCTTTCCCCAACACACCAGCACACACGCACATGCATACACACACATGAAGCCATGAGTATTTAGATGATGGGCAGCACCCTGGCTTTCTGTGAATGGTTGCTCCTAGGATACGGACTGACTTCTTGAGGTCAGGGAAATAATTACTCTCTGAGCCAGAGAGGTCTCCTTCCCCACGTTATCCTGGGGATACAGGCGGGCCTGAGCCGCTAGACAGGAGGTACCCTGAGGACCCTTAAAAACCTGGCAGTGGCTGCCAAAGGCTTCACACAGAACATGGATAACACTTAGGGAATTTAAATCATAGGTTGCAAATTGGTGGCCCTTGGTCCAAATCTAGCTTGCCATAGGTTTGATTCTGTGTACACAAGTTTATAATTTTTATTTTATTTTATTATTTTTTTTTACATTTTTGTGATAGGGTTCACGTACAGGCTAGAGACGGAGAGTCAGAGAAAGGGAAAGTGAGAAATCACTCCCCCCTCACAGGGAGACGGTCACACTGCAATCCCTTCTCCTCCATTCTCCTTTTGGAATTTTGGGCACGCATGCACACATGCCCAGTGTGATTTTCAAGCCACTGTGTCCAGCATGCAAACTGCAGTAAGCCATGTGGGACTCCAGCACCTTACCCATTACATCACCTGCTGGTCCCCTCGAATTTACAGTTTTAAAATTTAGTTGTACATTTATGGGGCCAGCAAGTGGCGTGGTGGTTAAGGGCACTGGACTCTGACATGGCTGACCGTGGTTCGAGTCCCGGACCTGGCAGCTTGCTCCCCCACCCCACCACACACTGCCCCTCTCTGGTCAAATTAAATAAATAACATTAAATAAAATAATTCCTTGAAAGAAAAATTTAGTTGTACATTTAACAATCTGATGACTTTCTATACAAATCTAACTCTACAGAGTCTTCTGAAAAACTAAGATGTTAACAACCATCTAGAGCTGGCTACAAGTGGTATTTACTCTTTGGCTAACTACTTCCCTTCCTGGCTTTCATTCATTTAAATGTCCTGTCTGGCTTTGGTAGGCATGTGGATTTGCAAACCCTGCTTTAGACCCGAGGAGGAAAGGCACAGCCTGGCTGGTCCAGGGAGCCCTGTGGTCAAGCCCTGACCCAGCCCTGAGAGTGAGCTGGGCCTGCTCACCTGCTAAGTCAGCGACAGCAGGGTCCGCCAGCCGGCCATAGCGTGCCATGAGTTTGAGCTTGGTCTCCTGCTTCCTGTGTTTCTTGCCCACATAATGCTGCTGAGCCATGACCGGGTCGTTGAACGTCGCGTGGCAGAGGCTGCAGAACTTGTCCGGGTCTATCATCTCTCTATTCTGGTGCAAGGCTAAGGTGGAGGCCACAAGGAAAGGATTTGTAAGGCGTTTCGACAGAGCTGCGGTGAGAGAGTTCAAACAGAAACAATGAAAAAACCCAGAAGGTGCCAGGCTTTCCAGTCTGTTGAACAGAAAGAAAGACTTGTTCTGCTACTGAGTCACACTCGTAATGTGGCACTGCCTGCATAAATGGCCTTAACTGGGAAAAGCAGGAGGGCCTGGGGGGCGGGGGAGACCC